GGATGCACAGAGAAACCCTGTCTTGAAAAAAAATTAGAAAGAAAAAAGAAAGGAAAAGGGAAACTGAAGCCCCAGCACTTTGTTTTTGGAGTGCGCAGTGGAATTCATCCTAGCTGTAAGTTCTTCCACGCACGCTTGCATTTCTATGCATGCATGTGTACCTAAGGGAAGGCAGTCAATACTATTTCTTTGTGTATCTGCGTATCCTTTTTCTTTCTCCTTTTGAGACGGTGTCTCAGTCTGTAACCCAGGGTGACCTTGAACTCCTGGGCTAAAGCAATCCCTAGCTGAGTCTCCAGCAACCACATGGGGACTCACAACCATCTATAATGAGGTCTGGTGCCCTCTTCTGGTGTGCAGGCATAAATGTAGACAGAACACTATACATAATAAAGAAATAAATCCCCCCCAAAAGAAAGAAAGAAAGAAAGAAAGAAAGAAAGAAAGGAAGGAAGGAAGGAAGGAAGGAAGGAAGGAAGGAAGAAAGAAAGGGAGAGAGCCAGGGAGCACTGGAGTTGTCTTTCCTTCTGCTGCCTGGGCATTTGCCATGTGAACAGTCTATAACACACGATCTTGTTAGCATCATCTGAACCACTCTTCCTGGCCTTTCCGGCCATGTTGGATAGAGACCCAAGATAAGTCTGTCTTTCTATAACTTGCTTCTGTCGCTGTTACAGAGACACAAAAGTAAGGACTGCAGATGGAGGGTCTGTCTGAAGGACGGCTGTCCTGGTTAGTTTTGTGTCACCTTGACACAAGCTAGAGTCATCTGAAAAGAGGAAACATCAGTTGGGAATATGTCTCCATAAGATCCAGCTCTAGCAGAGCATGGTGGCACAGGCCTTTAATCTCAGCGCTCGGGAGGCAGAGGCAGGAGGATCGATCTCTGTGAGTTTGAGCTAGCCTGGTCTACAAAGAGAATTCCAGGACAGTCAGGCTACATAGAAAAAAAAACCCTGTCTTGTAACTCCTCCACCCCTCACAAAAGATAACAGCTCTAGGGCATTTTCTTAATCAGTGGCTGATAGGTGGGGGCAGCCCTTTGTAGGTGGTGCCATCCCCGGGCTGGTCCTGGGGTTCTATAAGAAAGCAGACTGAACAAGCCAGTAAGCAGCACCCTCCATGGCCTCTGAATCAGCTCCTGCCTCCAGGTTCCAGCACTGCTTGAGTGCTGTCCTGACCATCGTCAGTGAAGGGCTCCAATGTGGAAGTGTAAACCAAATAAACCCTTTCCTCCCCAACTTGCTTTTGGTCACAGTGTTTCATCACAGTAATAATAGCCCCAACTAAGTAAGACAAGGGGCATGGGGCCCTTGTCTGAAGAAATTAGGTGGAGGACGTGTCCACAGGAGTTAGATGGAAGAGGATACAGGATCTGTTTGGAGAAGTTAGATGGAGGACATTCCTGCGATGAGGCCTACATCGATGGCTGCTCTGGTTCACCCAATGTGAATTTATTGGATTTTATTCAATGTCCTTACGTCATGAGGCATCACTTTAACATTTCTCTGTCTAACCTTATGGGGTCTAGATAGCTATGTGGTGCGTCCTTGGTTTGTTAGGGGATGGAAGGCTTGTTTGGAGGAGGAGGGAGGGAGAGTGCATCTTGAGGAGGAGGCTGGAACATTCTTCTGGAAAAGTTGGATGCCAGCCAGTTTTCCAAATGTGTTGAGAGGATTTTCACAGACAATGTGTTGGTGTAGATGTGGTTAGCTCTGTGTCAGGAAACAGTGAGGAGGATCACTTTGCTGGAGTGGAGGAGGCAAGCACTGGGTAGGAAGGAGGCCTCCCTAGGCCACTCCCCTATTTCGGATCTTTAGTAGCTCCGTCTTTAGTCTACAGAATCAAGTAAAAAGTAGGATTGGAGTGAAAGATGAGTTTCTCTCCGCCTTGAAGCCCCAGCCCGTGTTAAGCAGGGCATGACCAACCTCTGGCTTGCCAAGCTTTAGTCTCCCAGCTTTCTCCAGGTAGTTAGTGCCTCACCCCATGCGCCCACGTGTGAGAGGTGCCACCAGCAGGAACTGTGATTATTTGTGACAACTGTAATGTGTTGTCTCCATGCCACAGTCTGCAGAGAGGAAAGCTCAGGTTTGGTCTTGCTTTGCCTTTTCAGTGCAGCCCTCTTCACTCCTGGAACACAAGAACTGTTCAGACATGTGCTGAGTGAATGAATAAGGCAAGGAAAAAGAAAGATGGAGGGGAAGAAAAGGAAGTGTACTGGCCAGTTTTATGTCAACTAGACACAAGGCAGAGTCATCAGAGAGGAGGGAGCCTCAATTGAGAAATACCTCCAGATCTGGCTGAAAGGCATTTTCTTAATTAGTGATTGATGTGGGAGGGCCCAGCCCATTGTGGGTGGTGCCACCCCTGTGCTGGTGGTCCTGGGTTCTGTAAGAAAGCAGGCTGAGCAAGCCATGAGGAGCAAGCCAGTAAGCAGCACTCCTCCATGGCCTCCGCATCAGCTCCTGCCTCCAGGGTCCTGCTCTACATGAGTTCCTTCCCACAACTTTTGATGATATGGAACTATGAGAGAAATAACACAGCCACCCCACTGCATCCAACAATTTGCTTTTGGTCATGGTGTTTCATTACAGCAGTAGCGACCAGAACTAAGACAGAAAGGGAAGGAAGGATAAGGGAAGATGAAAGGGTCTTTCCATACTCTTCTGGGCTTTCTGGCAGTGTGGCTGGTGATGAGGTTTCAGAGGTCCTAACTTCTGTCTTTTCCTCTCAGAATTAATTGTGGAATGGCTCAACCGAAAGCCTAAAGGTTTAATTTTCCCTCATGAGCCATGGGTAGCTCTTGCCTGCATAGTGTGCTTACATTGCCCTTAAAGAGGGACATTGCTGGCCCTGTGGCAGAACTTTGGTGTTCTCACCAAGTTAGTCCACAGGGGACTGAGCTGTTGTTTATTAAGAGTTAGCTGCTCATCCTTTGACACACTCATCCATTCATCAGATGAGTAAGGAGTTGTCCTGGATCAGTGGCCTTGCTGACATCTCTCACATAGTGAATATGAGGAAAAACAGCCAGAGTTATATGTGCTAGTTTTCAGTAGCTTTAGTTTACAAGCCAACTGTTTATCACATTAGGACATGGATCCATAAATAAATTTGAAAGCGGTGATACATCTGGGTCTTCAAAGACCTCAACTTGAGTCAGTGACTTGTAAATATATTTGTTTGTGTCACTGATCCCTTTATTATTAATGCTGTGGCTTCCGTTGTAGTTATCAATCTCACCCAATTACCAAGGTCCTTGAGAAACCTTTGTTCCCAGTGCAGTCCCCAAGGACTGGTCCTTACCCGTCTGGGCAGCACAAGGTTGCCTCTGATTCTGTAGGTTTTCAGATGCAGAGCCCTTTCCTGTTAATGCTTTAATTTTTCCTTTACTTTCCCTCTATTTTCTCTATGTTTTTATGTTACCAAGCACATAGCTTCCTAAACTGTGGGCCACAAGTCTATATAGATTACATAGCCAAACATAGGAGTTGAGAAACATTTGGCAGCTGTAAAAGGTTTCTGAATGTGTAACAACCAAACACAAATTTAAAACTAAGTGCTTCCTGAAGCCAGGGTTTCTTGCAGCATTTACCTGTATTCTGTTTTGTTTTGTGAGACAGGGTCTTACTGTGTAGTCCTGGCTGGTCTGGACCATGCTATGTAGACTAAGCTAGACTTCAACTTATAGAGATCTTCCTGACTCTGCCTCCTGAGTATTAGGATTGATTACAGGGATGAGCCATCACACCACACCACACCACACACCACACCACACCACACCACACCACACCACACCACACCATACCACACCACTTATAGCCCTGCTTCTGAACATGTAACAGACACACTTTGCATTACACATGCCACCATGCCACAAAATACCAATAAACAATGGAACACACGTTATGAATTATAGTGTTTTTACTGCCCATGAAAAGTTTTCTGCTCTTAAAGAATTAACAGTCTAACTACAGAAAAAGAGTACTTAATGTTTTCCTGTCACCCTCCACATGTAAGAATCAAAGGTGCAGAGGACTCAAGTTGCCAAGGACCAGAGTTCAGTTCCCAGCACCCATGCTAGGTGGCTCACAAGCATCTGTAACTCCAGTTCCAGGGGTTCTGATACCAGCTTCTGGTCTCTGCTGACACCAGCATAACACAACACCTACGAATATATGTAAGTAAAAATAAAATAAATGCGTAAAATGGGAAAAGAAAGACAGACACTATACAGCAGTAAATAAAGAGTCAGAAAAAGATTTTAATTGCTGTTTTGAGTTGCTGTATTAGTCTCTGTCCTATTGCTGCTATAAAATACTCTAACAGAAGCAAATTGAGAGGAAGGGTTTATTTTGACTTAGAGTTCAAGGAAGAGACAGTTGCAGGAGTAGGAGGCTGGTCTTCCCACACCCTCAGGATGACGCACAGAGAGGTGGTGCTCAGTTTAGTGTCCTTTTTTTTTAATGTAATCCTGGACCACAGCCCTGGAGAATGTCACCACCCACATTTAGGTCCAGTCTTCCCACTTTAGTTAACTTTACCTAGATAGTCTCTAACAGACCTGCCTAAGGTGATTCTAGATCTTGTTAATTTGGCAGTATAAAACATCAAAGTTGACTGAGTTTCATAAAGTCATGCTAGAGGGCTGGAAGATGGCTCGGTGGTTAAGAGCATTTGTTCTTTCAGAGACCTGGGTTCAATTCCCAGTACCCACATAGTGGCTCACAAGTGTCTGTAACTCTAATCCCAAGGGATCTGAAGACTTCTTCTGACATTCAAGGGCATCAGTCACACACATGATGTATGTACACACACACACACACACACACACACACACACACACACACACAGAGGCAAAACACTCATTCATACATATGAAATAATAAACAAACCTAATATTAAAAGGTCACACAATAAATTTTAGCTTGGAATTAGGACAGAATTTCCAACACTTTCTGAACTAGCACTGAACATATTTCTGCTCTTTTCTATCCGTAAAGTCAGTGTGTATACAAAGTATTTTGATTGCATTTGCCCTCCATTACCTCCCTTCCCTCTCAGCTTTCTTAAACTAAGAAAGCTTAGTTTCTTTCTTTCCTTTTTTTTTTTTTTGATTTTATTTATTGTGTATACAACATTCTGCTTCCATGTATATCTGCACACCAGAAGAGGGCACCAGATCTCATAACGGATGGTTGTGAGCCACCATGTGGTTGCTGGGAATTGAACTCAGGACCTCTGGAAGAGCAGTCAGTGCTCTTAACCTCTGAGCCTTCTCTCCAGCCTGGACTCTTGTGCTTGTGGATCACCTTGTACCAACAATATTTAGCATATAAAGTACTGTGTAGAATTTAACTTCTCCATGTCAGTCTTAAAAATAGCAAATATTGGGGCTGGGGAGATGACTCACTTGGTAAAGTGTTTGCCACACAGGCATGGAGAACTAATGTGACCCTCCACAACCACATGGAAAACGTTGGCAGCAGCAGGATGTGCTGTAATCAATCCCAGCACTGGTGAGACAGAGCTCTACAGCTAGCCAGTATGGCCAAATGAAGTGAGTTCCGTGTTTAGTAATAATTCACTCAAAATTTAAATCAGAAAAAAAACAGTAGATTAAAAAAGAAGAAGGAAGAAGAATAATTAGGAAGAAGAAGAAGAAAAAAGGGAAGAAATGAACTTGGGAGGGGGACATGTGATGGGGCCTGGGAGGAACTGGATGGAAGGAGTAGGGCTGGATAAGGTCAAAAAACATTGTACACCTGTATTAAATTTTCAAAGAATAAATAATTAAAATTAAAGCATTAAAACAACAAAAATAAGATGGCGAGGTTTCAATGAAACTGTTCAGGAGGTAAGACCCTTACTGCTAAGTCTGCTCACCTAGGTTTTCTGTATCTGGGATCCACAGGTAGAAGGAGAGACTAATCCTTCCAGGTGTCCTCTGACCTCCATACGAACACCATGGCACATACATGTACCCTCTCCACAAATAAATAAATGCTAAGAAATTTGTAAAAAGTAATAAGGTTGGGGCTGGAGAGATGGCTCAGTGGTTAAGAACTCAGGCTGCTCTTCTTGAAGACTTTGTTTGATTCCAGCACCCACATGATGGCTCAAACTGGCTATAACTCCATTCCCAGGGGATTCAGTGCCCCCATTTGGCCTCCACAGGCACTGCACAGACAAACATACATGCAGACAAAACACACACATCAAATACAAATAAAGGAAAAAAGTTTTAAAAAAGTGGAAGCAATTGAGGAAGGCTTTGTGACATTGATTTCTAGCCTACACAGGGACACACACACACACACACACACACACACACGCACGCACGCACGCACGCACGCACGCACGCACGCAAGCACACAAGCTAGCATAGACACACAAGAATAGTAAAAGCATATTGTGTGTTTCCCATGAACCAAGCACCATCCCAACTATGTGTGTGTGTGTGTGTGTGTGTGTGTGTGTGTGTGTGTGTGTGTGTGAATTTGACACAAGTAAAGTTATCTGAGAAGAAAGAATCTCAGTTTAGGACTTGCCTCCATCACATTGGCCTGTAGGTAAGTCTGTGTGGGCATTTTCTTGATTGCTATGGGAACACCCAGCCCACTATGGGCAGCACCGTCTCTGGGTAGATGGTTCTGAGTTCTGTAAGAAACCCTGTCTCTAAAAAAAAAAAAAGAAAGAAAGAAAGGAAGGAAGGAAGGAAGGAAGGAAGGAAGGAAGGAAGGGAGAGGGAAGGAGGGAGGGAGGGAGGGAAGGAGGGAG